GGTGTTTAAATTCTGGACCTGAGGCTAGGCTTTATCAGCATGGCAGCTCTTTCTTTCTTTTTGACCTTGTGGATTTTTTCTTGAATTTCTGCATCTAAGCAATTTTCTAGAAGATAGAGCCTCCTCAATTCACTTTCGTACGTTGGACTGCTGGATGATGATTCTAGAGAGGGGCTGTCTGTATTGCTTATGAAAAGATCGGAGCTCCATTTTGAACATTTGACAAAAGCGGTTTGGTAGCAATGTTGATTACACATCCTCTAGGCTTCCTTGTGAGAAACAAGGCAAGATATAATTGAGTGTGGGGATGACATCGCTTTCTTCATGGAGGTCCAGCCGCTCCTTCATGAAGCCTGAAAGACTGAAAGTTGACTTGTCTGAGGGCATCTCTGGCTCAATAATCAGCTCAGTGCACACTAGTAGTTTGTCTTGTGTTGGATCTGTTTTATTCTCTAATAAGCAAAGTGTGAGGTCACTATCATGGCCAAAGTTACGAGGCCAGAACGAGTAGTACCAGAGCCCTGGGCTCTTTGTGGGTGCTCTCCCCAGCTCATCCTCCATGGGAAATGAGCCCCCGCACATCATTGTTGGGGATGAGAGACTGCAACTGCTGATTTAGCTAACTCTCAAACTGGACCGCTGGGGAAGGAAGAGCAGATACATGAGGTTGTGTGGCATCAGAGACAGCTCAGGCCCCGGGTTGCTGAACTCCCACTGCATTTCATTGGTCGTTCTGATGGGCAACATGGGGTCAAAGGCAAGTGCGATAGAGTCAGCCTCGGAAGTGTTCATGGGGTCTTCAGAGATAGTGCCTTCTGGCACTATGGAGTTTTCCAGAAACTTGTTTTCTTGAGAAGCAGTTCCTGATGTGGGGTTTTCCATAATATTTTCTGTAGTTGGCTCTGAAAGAGCAAATAATCCGGAAAAGGGTTTTCTTGAGGACTCGGGTCTGCTGAAGGTGAAAAAGCCCCCTGCAGGGGTGAGTTGATGAGGTTTCAGACTTCAGGAAACGGGACTTCTTGGCAAGCAACAGTCCACCGAGTGAGCCTTCCTTCCTGAACTTCTGACTCTCCTTGGCCTTGGGTGCTCTATGGATAACATGGAAGTGACTTTTATGAACGTGGTATTTTTTTTCTGGATTGTAAAACTGGATTGGAGGCCTTCCTGCTTTTACTCTCATACTGGCATCATCTAAAACAAATATGTAAGTCTTTTGACTCATTTTGATCTCCAGACAGGGCTTTCATTGTGTTGACTGGGGGAACACCCATTTATTTTATGGAAGAGACCAAGGCCTTCTGCACCTGTGTGAGCAAAAGCAATGTGGGTGAGGCTGCCAACCAGCTCCTGGGGCCTCTGCACCCTGTGGTGCCATTCCGGCTCCCTTAGAGCTGGTCTCCTGTGCAGCCTTTCCTCGGCTGCATGCTCCACAATGGCTGGGTGTTCTGTGTTCTCCTGATGCGCTGATCTTGAAGTACCTTCTTGAGACAACTTTTCTTAATGTCCCTGGGCCCCTTGATGACCATGTCCATGGAGTGCAGCCTTTTCTTGACACCCTGGGTCTTTACTAGGCTGTTTCCCTGTGGCCTGGCCATTTCCAACTATTCTAGAGAGACTGGGTGTTTAAATTCGGGATCTGAGCTAAGGCTGCATCAGCATGGCAGCTCTTTCTTTTTAACTTGTGGAATTTTTCTTGAATTTCTGCATCTAAGCAATTTTCTAGAAGATAGCGCCTCCTCAATTCACAATTGTTGGATGACTATTCTAGAGAGGGGATGTCTGTACTGCTTTTCAAAGATCCGGATGTACATTTTGAACATTTGAAAAAGCAGTTTTGTAGCAATGTTGATTACACATTTTCAGGTTTCCTTGTGAGAAAGAAGGCAAGGAATAATTGAGTGTAGTGATGATATTGCTCTCTTCACAGAAGTCCAGCCGCTACTTCATGAAGCCTGACAAACTGAAGCCCCTCTTGTCTGAGCGCATTTCTGGCTCAATAATCGGCTCAGTGCACACTACTGAGCAATTCCTTCTGCAATTTGTCTTGTGTATTGTGTCTGCTTTATTCTCTAATGAGCAAAGTGTGAGTTCACCGTCATGGCCAATGTTACGAGGCCAGGAAGAGTGGTACCGCAGCCTGGGCTCCTTGTGGGTGCTCTCCCCAGCTCATCCTCCATGGGAAATGAGCCTCTGCACATCATTGTTTGGGACGAGGGACTGCAGCTGCTGATTTAGGTGACTCTCAAACTGTACTGCTGGGGAAGAAGAGTGGATACATGAGGCTCTGAGGCATGGGAGACAGCTCAGGCCCCGGGTTGCCGAACTCGCACTGCATTTCATTGGTCTGTCTGACGGGCAACACGGTGTCGAAGGCAAGTGCTATAGAGTCAGCCTCGGAAGTGTTCATGGGGTCTTCAGAGATGGTGCCTTCCAGCACAATGGTGTTTTCCACAAACATGTTTTCTCGAGAAGCAGTTCCTGATGTGGGGTTTTCTGTAATTTTTTCTGTAGTTAGTTCTGAAAGAGTAAATAATTCTGATGAAGGGTTTTCCTGGGGGTTGGATCTGCTGAAGGTGAAAAAGCCCCCTGCAAGGGTGAGTTGATGAGGCTTCTGACTGCAGGGATTGGGGTTTCTTGACAAGCTCGGTCCACTGAGTAGGCCTTCCTTCCTGAACTTCTGACTCTCCTTGGCCTTGGGTGCTCTCTGGATCACCTGGAAGTGACTTTTATGAATGTGGTAATTTTTTTCTGGGTTATAAAACTAGATTGGAGGCCTTCATGTTTTTAACTGTCATATTGGCATCATCTAAAACAAACAGGTCAAGCCTTTTGACTTATTTTGATCCCCAGGCAGGGCTTTCATGGAGGTGTCCCGGGGCACAACTCTGTATTGTATGGAAGGCTGCCCACCAGCTTCTGGGACCTCTGTACCTTGTGAGGCCATTTCAGTTCCCTAGGGGCAGGCCTCCCATGCATCCTTTCCTCGGCTGCATGCGCCACAGATGGCTGGGTGTTCTGTTTTCTCCTGATGCACTGATCTTGAAGTCCCATCCTGAGGCACCTTTTCTTAATGCCGCTGGGCCCCTTGATGACCATGTTCTCGGTCTGCAGCCTTTTCCTGACACCCTGGGTCTTTGCTAGGCTGTTTTCCTGTGGCCGGGCCATTTCCAACTTATCTGGAGAGACTTGGTATTTAAATTCTGGACCTGAGGCTAGGTTTTACCAGCATGGCAGCTCTTTCTTTTTTTTTGACCCCTGGAATTTTTCTTGAATTTATGCATCTAAGCAATTTTTTAGAAGTTAGAGCCTCCTCAAATCACTTTTGTACATTGAACTGTTGGATGACAATTCTAGAGAGGGGCTGTCTGTACTGCTTATGAAAAGATCCGGAACTGAATTTTGAACATTTGACAAAAGCAGTTTGGTAGCAATGTTGATTACACATCCTCTAGGTTCCCTTGTGAGAAACAAGGCAAGATATAATTGAGTGTGGTGATGACCTCACTTTCTTCATGGAGATTCAGCTGCCCCTTCATGAAGCCTGACAGACTAAAGGTCCTCTTGTCTGAGGGTATCTCTGGCTCAGTAATCGGCTCAGTGCACACCACTGAGCAATTCCTTTTGCAGTTTGTCTTGTGTTGGGTCTGGTTTATTCTCTAATAAGCAAAGTGTGAGGTTACTATCATGGCCAAAGTTACAAAGCCAGAACGAGTAGTCCCAGAGCCCTGGGCTCCTTGTGGGTACTCTCCCCAGCTCATCTTCCATGGGTAATGAGCCTCTGCACATAATTGTTGGGGTTGTGGGACTGCAACTCCTGATTTAACTGACTCTCAACCTGACCGCTGGGGAAACAAGAGCAGATACATGAGGCTCTGTGGTGTCAGACACAGCTCAGGCCCCTGGATAGCTGAACTCCCACTGTATTTCCTTGGTGTGTCTGACAGGCAATACAGTATTGAATGCATGTGCGATAGAGTCAGCCTCGGAAGTGTTCATGGGGTCTTCAGAGATAGTGCCTTCCGGCACAATGGGGCTTTCCACAAACATGTTTTCTCAAGTAGTAGTTCCTGATGTGGTGTTTTCCTTAATTTTTTCTGTAGTTGGCTCTGATAGAGCAAATAATTCTGGAAAAGGGCTCAGGTCTCCTGAAGGTGATAAAGGCCCGAGCAAGGGCAAGTTGATGAGGTTTCTGACTGTAGGGAATGGGGCTTCTTGGCAAGCATCAGTCCACTGTGTAAGTCTTCCTTCCTGATCTTCCGACTCTCCTTGGCCTGGGTTGCTCTGTGGATCACCTGGAAGTGACTGTTATGAATGTGGTATTTGTTTTTCTGGGATGTAAAACTGGATTGGCGACCTTCATGCTTTTGACTGTCATAATGGTTTCATCTGAAACAAATATGTCAAGTCTTTTAACTTATTTTGATCCTCAGACAGGGCTTTCATGGAAGTGTCTGGGGGCACACCCATGTATTGTATGGAAGGCTGCACACCAGCTCACGGAACCTCTGCACCCTGTGAGGCCATTCTGGCTCCCTAGGGGCAGGCCTCCTGTGCCTCCTTTCCTCAGCTGCATGCTCCACAGATGGCTGGGTGTCCTGTTTTCTCCTATGCGCTGGTCTTGAGGTGCCTTTTCTTAATGCCCCTGGGGCCCTAGATGACCATCATTGTTGGAGTTGAGGGACTGTAACTACTGATTTGGTTGACTCTTAAACTGGACCGCTGGGGAAAGAAGAGCAGATACATACATGAGGCTCTGTGGCGTGGGAGACTGCTCAGGTCCCAGGCTGCCGAACTCCCACTGCATTTCTTTCTTTTTTTTTTTTTTTGAGTTGGAGTTTCACTCTCTGACACCCAGACAAGAGTGCAGTGACCGCTCCCAGTCATCGCAGCCTCGACCTGCTGGGCTTCGGTGATCCTTCTGCCTCGCTGCATTTCATTGGTCTGTTTGATGGGCAACATGGTGTCGAAGGCATGTGCAATAGAGTCAGCCTCGTAAGTGTTCATGGGGTCTTCAGAGATAGTGCCTCCCGGAGCAATGGGGTTTTCACAAACATGTTTTCTTGAGAAGTAGTTCCTGTTGTGGAGCTTTCTGTAATATTTCCTGGAGTTGGTTCTGAAAGAGCAAATAATTCTGAACAAGGGTTTTCCTGAGGGCTCAGGTCTGCTGAAGATGAAAAAGCCCCCTGCAAGGGTGAGTTGATGAGGTTTCTGACTGCAGGGAATGGGGCTTCTTGGCAAGCATCAGTCCACCGAGTGGACCTTCCTTCTGAAATCCAACTCTCCTTGGCCTTGGGTGCTCTGTGGATAACCTGGACGTGAGTTTAATGAGCGTGATATTTTTCCTGGCACGTAAAACAGGATTGGCCACCTTCATGATTTTAACTCTCATATTGGCATCATCTAAAACAAATATGTCAAATCTTTTGACTCATTTTGATCCCTAGCCTGGGCTTTCATGGAGGTGACTCAGGGCACACCCATCTATTGTAAGGAAGAGACCAAGGCCTTCTGCACCTGTGTGCACAAGGGCAGTGTGGGAGAGGCTGCCCACCAGCTCCTGGGACCTCTGTACCCTGTAGTGCCATTCTGGCTCCCATAGAGCTGGCCTCCTGTGCCGCCTTTCCTTGGCTGCATGCTCCACAGATGGCTGGGTGTTCAGTGTTCTCCTGATGCACTGATCTTGAGGTGCGTTTTCTTAATGCCACTGGGCCACTTGATGACCATGTCCTCGGTCTGCAGCCTTTTCCTAACACCCTGGGTCTTTGCTAGGCTGTTTTCCTATGGCCTGGCCATTTCCAACTATTCTGGAGAGACTTGGTGTTTAAATTTGGGATCTGAGGCTAGGCTGCATCAGTATGGCAGCTCTTTCTTTCTTTTTGAACTCATGAATTTTTCTTGAATGTCTGCATCTAATCAATTTTCTAGAAGATAGAGCCTCTTCAATTCACTTTTGTCTGTTGAACTGCTGGATGATGGTTCCAGGGAGTGGCTGTCTATACTGTTTTCAACAGATCCCTAACTCCATTCTGAACATTTGAAAAAAGCAGTTTCTCAGCAATGTTGACTACACATCCTCCAGGTTTCCTTGTGAGAAACAAGGCAAGATATAATTGAGTGTGGTGATGACATTGCTTTCCTCATGGAAGTCCAGCTGCTCATTCATGAAGACTGACAGGCTGAAGCTCCTCTTGTCTGACGGCATCTCTGGCTCAATAATCAGCTCAGTGCTGATTTGCTTCTTCTGGGCTTGTCGTACGTTCATGAAGGTTCCCTCTCCATCGCCTATAGATGCTCCTGCAACTGTCAAGAGGAAGCACAGAGCAAGAAATTAAAATATCTCCGGGACTGGCCATAGTGGGAATATGCCTGGGGAAGGAGTGGCACACCTCATTAACAAAGTACCTGCATAATGAACATATGTATACCTAACCCTAAATTGTATCCCACATCTTTAAAATTAAATTAAAAGTTAAATAAATAAAAATTAATTGCAGTCTGCACTCTGTATTGGTGAATTCTACATCCTTGGATTCAGCCAGCTGCGGTAGGAAAACATAGGTAGGGCAATCATGGTTGCATCTACGTAAAATAAAGAAAGAAGAAAATCATGTCCTCTACAGAAGTGTGGATGTCACTGGTGGCCATTATTCTATGTGAGTTAATACAGAAACAGAAGAACAAATACCACATGGCCTCACGGGTGGGAGCTAAACACTGACTATGCACGGACATAAAGATGGGAACTCCTTGTGGGGACCCTAAAGGAAGGCAGGGGGCAAGGCTGAAACATACCTATTGGGTACCATGCATGCCATTTGGATAATGGACTTCATAGAAGCCCAAACCTCACCATCACTCGCTATACCCATGAAACACATCTGCACATGAATCGTTTGAATCTAAAAATAATAAGTTAAAATAAAAGAGACTTCTTTGATCGTGGAAGATGAGGGGATGACCTTGTGCCAGTCCACAGCCATACATCCTAGCCACAGAGTAAGAGCCAGTGAGCCTCTGAGCCATTCAGAGAGGAGAAGCATAACCCCAGCCTGAGCCTGGGAAATGGCCAGAGCAGGAGGAAATGATATCTTTTGAAAATGTGGCTATCTACTCAGAACATTCCATCCTGTGCAATACAGTAACTATCTTTAGGATTATCCCACCGGGCCTCAATGGCCAAGGTGGAAGATGAGTGCTTCCTGGCTGAGCCAGCCTCTCTGCAGACCTACCTCCTCTTACCCTGACCCATGCTATCCTGCCCTCCTCCATCCACCTCCCAGAATGCTCATGCTCTCACTACATCATAGATGGCCATGCTGACAGATGGCCCAAGAGGGCAGCAAGGACAGAGATGCTGCTGTCCCTCCCAACAGGCCTTCTGTGACATGTACTCCTCTGCCCACCCACCCAGTTCCCTGTCCCATCTATTCTAGCCTTCATTCCAGAAGGAGCTACATGGAAAAACGCCACTATGTTCATCCTGGGTCTTTCCTTAAGTTGGGCAGGGATCTGGGGTGAAGGTGGAAAGATTTTTAATTTGCCACCTTGTTTGCCTATGTGGAATGGTCAGTGTATCTGTAGAATCTCTGGATAAACAGTACTTTATGTTCTAAAATACAGAAGGGAAAAATCAACCTTTGCCAGATGCTGACTTGGTTTTCTTTCATTTCTCATCTGCCCAGCTTTCCTTAGGGCATCACTCAAGGCTTCTGACAGCACGAAGGGAACGTGGATCACGCTCAGCGTTTCTTTCCAGATTCAAACGTGTTTTTGGTGGTGGTGAGGGTCAGAGGAGGAGGTGAGGATCGTGAGAGCGGGGGAACATGGGCTTGTGGAGAACCCAGAACTGGTAGAAGACCTGGCACTAGGCCATAGCACTTCACACATCAGATCCTGCTTTTTCTCATCTGTAAAAGGAGCTTAAAAATGCTTGTTCTGCCCACCTCTGGGAGAAAAGGGAATCATATAATTGAAAAAAAATTGTCTTGAAAAAGAAGCAACACAGTCTTTGTGTAAGTAGCAGTGTTGTTACTTATTATTCGCCCCATGTCACTTGTAGAGGCCTGTGTTCAAGCTGTCTGGACAGGAACACAGTCACATTTTGGAAGTCATGAAGTTACTGCTGTTAGACCTAATGTAGAGAAAAACACCTGAAGGACCCGACTGTGTGTTCAGTGGACAGGAAAGCTTGAGATTCGGAGCAGGTTCAGACAGTCTCAGAATGGAGAAACCTTTCATCCCATTAGAAGAGCCAGGTAGAGATCTTTCCACCCATCATCCTTACTCTGCCTCTTAACCCCTAACCTTCCCTCTCCTTCCCAGTTTCCCTCTCCTTCCCCATCTCCACTTGTGTCTCCAGGGAGCTGATAGAGACACAAAGCGGTTCTACGATCAGAATGAACGGATGCTTTCCAACCATGGAAGGCCATTTCTCCTCCTGGCACCACATCTCCAACCTCTCCACCCTCTCCGTCACCCCCTTCCTTTTCCCTCCTGCATGCAACTTACTTCTGCTCTCATGCCCTAGTTCTCCTTTGTAACTCACCCTAACTCACCTACCTGTATCCCTGTTGGGTAACTGTCCCACCTTGCCCTGTTGATTTTTGCTTAAAAAAAGAAGAAGAAGAAGAAGAAAAAAGAGCCAGGTAGTGATGTCTGATTCAGGAACCACAAACTCGCAGGCTTCACATAAAACAGTATTGCTCCTACTCTTTTAGAAGGTGGTTAAAAACCAACAAACCCAGACCAATCTATACCTGTCCTCTAAGGACACATGACACCTGAAGCCTCACTCATATAAAGCCAGTTTACAAACCAAAACATGCAATCCCAGCAAGTTATCCCTGGGGCAAATCACCCAGCAGAGAGTGCAGCACACAGCCTGTGGCCATTGCTGTCAGTCCCCTGCCCTTCTGTTATTTCCCCTGGTCCTTTATGCAGATGGAACAGTTATATTACCAAATCATGTCATAACAATGAAGAACCTAACTTTCAGCAAGGGAATGTACAGAAATTTAGGAAGTTTAACTCTGAACGAATGAATAAAAATAAGCAATTGCATCTTTAGTTTAAAAATGTATCATCATCACTTAGAAACAAAAATTTAAAACTAAGTGAAATAAAACTGTACCAACTTATCAACTGGGCAGTTTGGACTGAGGACAATGTGTAGCATTTGTCAGACAAGTACTCTCACAATGCAGCTTGACTGTCTTGCAGACAACTTCATAATCAATATTTCTTATTATGGTTTTGTGGAGACAACTTCAATGTTATTTTTAAATTGGCAGCGGCAGCAGGCCATATGGCTGGGCAGGATCCCACAAAAGGAAACACAGACAATTAAATTAATGGTAAAGAGGCTACCTGAGCAGGCAAAAGAGGCAGGCAAGGCAACCACAGGACTGGGCAAACAGGACTTGAGGCCTACGTTCTTGGCTGGACAGCTGGGTAGGAACCCGATGGCCAATAGGAAGGACGACAGAGGTGCCCAACAGAGGGCATGTATGGCAGTGGGTATGGTGGTCTAGAATAAGGGTGATCAGGACTAGACCTGGGCGACACTGATCTGTGGTTTAATCCATAAGTACCTCCCGCCAACTCAGAAGTCCCCCTTCGGGTTGAGAGTTCACGGAAGAATTGGACTTCTAAGAAGAGTCTAAATGAGCCCCAACTCTCGAGTCCCTTTTTAGTTCCTGCTGAGAGTGGTAAATATTGAAAACTACCCTGGGTATAAAAAGCACTAAGTTTAACCCACATGGTGGGATTGAATAATAACAGCGATGGCACTGGCCAAATCTGGACAATGTGAGCATTCAGAAGGTTAACGATAATAATAAGACACAACACAATCAATGTAAATAAGAGCCCCTGAGCTCACAGTGATACTCAGAAAAAAGGGGAAGGGTTCTTCTTTCATAGAACAACTGCCAGCCAATGAATGGAGAACGAACGATAGAAAGTGTCATTTTGAACCGGGCGCGGTGTCTCACGCCTATAATGCCAGCAATTTGGGAGGCTGAGGTGAGAGAATTGCCTGAGCCCACAGGTTCCAGACCAGCCTAGGCAACATGGTGAGACCTCATCTCTACAAGATATCAAAAAATTAGGTGGGTGTGGTGGCGCATGCCTGGAGTTCCAGCTACTTGGAAGGCTGAGACAGAGGGCTGAGCCCAGTCGGTCAAGGATGCAGTGGCCATGAGAGTGCCACTGCACTCTAGCCTGGGTGACAGAGTGAGACTCTAACGCACACACACACACAAAGAAAGTGTCATTTTGTAGTCACGAATGCAATACTCAATTCAGAGGATTACCCTTCATGCACAGTTGTGTGAAAAGACACTTGAGAGCATGATCTTCACTGATCACAAAGCATCACCCATAGATTATTAATTACAAGGGGAAAATAACTTTACATTGGAGATATCTGGAAGATGCCATCTCTTTTCTTCTCCCCACTCTTTTTTTTTTTGAGTTGGGGTCTCACACTCTCGCCCAGGCTAGAGTGGAGTGGCACACTTGAGGCCACCTCAGAGTCGATCTGCTGGGCTCCAGTGATTCTACCACTTCAGCTTTCCAAGTAGCCGGAACCACAGGTACATGCTACCACTCCCGGTTAATTTTTTGTTTATTGTAGAGACAAGGTCTCACTAAGTTGCCTGGGCTGGTCTTGAACCTATGGGTTCAGGCAATCCACTCTCCTTGGCCTCCCAAAGGCCTGGGATAACAGGCTGAGCCACCGAGCCCGGCCTTTTAAAAAATTTTATGTTAACGATGTGGGGTACAATAAGATGTCACCTTAATAAGTGATCAAACACAGCATTGTGAGCCACCTGAAGTCATGAGATGAGAAGGACACATCACCTATGTAGTATTCCTCCCTTAAATATTTCACCTGAATCTAATCACGAGGAAACACAAATTCAGATCGTGGGACAATTTACAAGACAACTGTTTCAGACTCTTTAAAAATGCCAGTGTCATGAAAATCCCCCCAAAAGGTCACTGCCTTACTAGACTCTGGTGTGGCCATGTGCTCTTTGAGCTATGGCTGTCTCAAAGTTTCCTGGCTTTGGCCCCTTTCCCTACCTTGGGGAGGCAAATCTCCTCTTTCTCTTTCTCTCTAATTTCTTTTTAAGTAAACTATGTTTTCCAATCCAAAAAAAGAAAAAAAAAACCCAAAAAAGACAGAAATGCTTTAGATTAAAGGAAACAAAGACATGACATGCTATGCCTGATCTTTGGCTCGATTCCGAATCAAAATAAAACAGATTTAAAGGAGATGATTGGCTTCTGGCCAACATGGAGTAAGAGAGACAAGATTAACCGCCTTCCGAAAACAACCAAGGGGAAAAAAAAAACAGATAAAATAGATGTCACAACAGCTTTTGAGACATTGGACACCAGACAATGAAGGACAGTGATTTCCAGGAGCTGGAAGATAATTGAAAAGATCCCTGAGCTGCCCCAGCTCACTGCTTTGTGCGTGTCCAGGCCATGATTCAGGGAGGGGAGGCCCAGGCAGAGACTGGTGGACTCTGATGAAGGAAATGGAGCTGAGAGTCCAGGAGACCAAGGTGGCTAGGGTTCTCACAGAGATATCACTCTCTATAATCCACACACACACTTTGCCAATTCTCCCAATCATGTGATGGCCTGAAAAAACCCATAATCCAATCAAACATCAGGCATTACGTAGTGTCTTCATGATTCTTTAGTCTCCTTCCATTTAGAACAGTTCCCTTTTTTTTTTTTGAGTCGGAGTATCATTGTTACCCAGGCTGGAGTGCAGTGGCACAATCATGGCTACTGCAGCCTCAACCTGCCAGGGTTCCTTTCACGTCAGTCTTCCAAACGGCTGAAACTACAGGCACACAGCACCATGCCTGGCTAATTTTCTGATTTATTGTAGAGTCGAGATCGCGCCATGTTGCCCAGGCTGGTCTAGAATTCCTGGGCTCAGGCAATCCTCTCACCTCGGCCTCCCTAAGTGGGCCCTCAATCTTTTAAAAATCTTTCATAGCGTTGACATTTTTGAAGCAGCCAAGTCAACTGTGTTGTGGAATGTTCCTCAATCACAAAGAAACATTTTTAGCAAGAACAAATTGCAGGAGAACACTGTTGCTTTTGTTACTCACTAAAATGTATGAGCTACAAATAATACAAATAATGATACACAAGTAATTGTTGTAATGTATATAGGCAAATTTTTGAGACTGCAAATTATCTGAGGTATAGATTATGCTTTCTTGAGAACAGCAGTTTTTCAATATGCATTAAAGGTCATTACACAGGAGTCAAGACTCAAATGAGCTGACCTCCTTACTCTGTATATAAATATATAAACCCCAGAGAACTTGCAACAGTGAACTCCAACGTGGCAACTGCTTTACCTCCTGACGGTCTTGTTGGCAAGTGACTACAGAGCATGACGGCACTTTTCCTAGTCACTAATGGTCAAGAAAATGCAGATGGACTTCTGCGGCCTTAGATCACTAAGTGAGAAACTGGTTGATGATGAGGTCTTTGTCCAGAGAGGAAGGTATCAGCCAATATGGGGATGCTATAGGAGTTTGAGGAAGATGAGGCTAGAGCAAGGAAATGGATTTGACAATGTGGAGACGATAACCAAGGGACCTGACAAAATGGTTGGAAGCAGAGTGCTGAATGAAGGGCCCTTCCACATGCCAAACTCCCGGAATTCCCCCACCAGCCTTATGACTGGGCTTCTATTTGGCAGGCTGTATTGGAGGGAGATGGTACAACTTAAGTTGCAGTAAGTTGTATAACACACTCACAGTAGGCCCTACAGAAACATTTTCTTTTAAACCACACAAAAAAACACATAAAATGCCTCACACCATACGTGCAGATTAACTCAAAATGGATCACAGACCTAAGTGTAACTATACAACATCTGGAGGAAAGCAAAGGAGAAATCTTTGTGACTTTGGATTAGACAAGGGGTGGGTTCTTGGACAAAGATTTCTCAGATGAGACACAAAAAAGCAAAAACAATGCAAGAAAAAACTGCTAAATTAGAGCTCATCAAAATTTAAAACTTCTGCTCTTCAGAAAACTCTTTTAACAGACTGAAAAGATAAACCACAGCTTGAGAGAAGATATTTGCTAAACACCTATGTGAAAGAATGTGTATGTGAAGACATAAAACGCTCTTAAAACTCGTTAATAATTAACTTCTCATAGGATTAGAGGAAAAATTCTATAATTAGAAAATAAATATCAATTAAAATATGGGACTAGATTTCAACAGACAATTCAGTCAAGAAGGCATTTGCACTTGAACAGACATTCAACATCATCAGCTATTAAAGAGATGCAAGTTCAAACCATAATGAGGATCCACTACACACCTAATAGTAGGAAGGCTGACATTTTTTTAAAAACTGAAATAGAAGACTCTGCTGAAGATGTGGAACACACAACTCTCATACATCGCTGGTGGGAATGAAAAATGTTTCAGCCACTTTAGAAAACTGTTTGGCCATTTCTTAAAACGTTAAACATGCACTTAGCATGTGATGCAGCCATTCCACCCCTAAGTATTTACCCCCCCCCCATGAAAATATATAAGTATTTTCAGCAGTTTTATTCACAATTGACAACAAATTGGAAGCAACCCCAATGTCTGTAAACTGATGAGTGGACAACTGGATATAGCCACACAACTGGAATGCTACTCAGTAACACAAAGGAATAAACTATAGTTATCCTCTGCAGGGAACTGGTTCTAACAGACACACACACACACACACACACACACACACACACACACACACACACCAAAATCCACAGCTGCTGAAGTCCCTTTATAAGACGTCATACTATTTGCATATAACCTCTGGCATACTTAAAGCATTTCCAGATTACTTAAAATACCTGGTATGGTGTAAGTGCCATGCACAAAGTTGTTACACTGTAGTTTAAAATTTGTATTTCTACTGTATTATTATTATTATTGAGTTGGAGTCTCACTCTGTCGCCCAGACTGGAGTGCAGCGGCCGCTCCCGGCCACTGCAGCCTCGACCTGCTGTGCTCCGGCGACCTTTCCGCCTCAGCCTACCAAGTAGCTGGAACTACAGGCGCGTGCTACTACGCCTGACTGATTTTTTGATTTATTGTAGAGATGAGGTCTCGCCTGCCCAGGCGGCTCTCGAAACCGCGGGCTCAGGCAATCCACTCACCTCAGCCTCCCAAGGCTGTTGTAATATTTTATATTTTTTATTTTTTCTAAATATTCTCCATCTGTGGTTGGTTGAATCCGTGGATGGGGAACCCACAGATATGAAGACTCAACTATACCAATAGATGCAACAGCATGGGTAATGGCATAATCTCAAAAATGTATGCTAAGTGAGAGAATCCAGACTCAAAAGACTACACACTATATGACTTCATTCATAAGGCATTCTGGAGGAGGCAAAACTATAGGAATAGAAATCAGACTCGTGGTTGCCAGGGGCCGGTGGCAGGGTGAGGGGACTGACTGGAAAGGGACTTGAGGGGCCTTTTTGGGGTGATGGAAATGTTCTATATCAGGAATGTGGGGGTAGCCACCTAACGACCCAAGTCAAAACTCATCAAACTATACACTTCAGAAAGGGTAAATTTTATTACATGAAAAATTGTACCTCAATAAACCTGACTGAAGAAAATAGTAAAACAAACCTAAAAAAACTAAGTGAAAATAAATCTAAGAAAAAAGTAACTTACAGGTTTCCAGTTCCAGAGTCATCAGAAGGAAGTTCTCAACTGTTGTAAGTGGGACATGTGTGGCTCCATGTCTCTGAAGGAGAAAGCCCAGAGACTCATGATGTGATCCCCAAAACAAATTCTGTACTTAGAAAGATATTTCAGTGGCATATGATTACTTCAATTTGAGCTTCTCTATAAAACAAGCCAGCCCAGGAGTTTATTTGCCATAGGAGATAATTTCAGAGAGCTCTTATTAAAGAAATTTAAGTAGATTTGCCTAATAAAAGTGATGTTAACTAGTAGAAGCTATACCCTCTTTTGCCATTATCTTGCTTCCCATTTTCATATTGCTTCAGCTCACTTTGTTTTTTGGGTTTTGTTGTTGCTGTTGTTGTTGTTTGAGTCAGTATCTCACCTC